CCCCCGGCCTCTTCCACTCCTGCTATCTCATCAGCACCAGTGGCTCTCCAACATCGCTCCAGACTTCTTTCCAATTGGTACTCCCACACCAGCAGCCTCCTCCTTGCCCCCTTCGGCTCCCTGCCCCTCTCTGCCCAATGGTTGTCAACCCTAGTTTTCCCCCTTTTGCCCCAACCTCCTTCTGCCTGCTCTCTGTGGGTTAATCTTGCAGTCCCCCAGCCTGGCAGGCACTGGTAGAGGAGACATACTTGTCTGGCAGCTCCCCAAGAAACTGGGTAAGTTGCCTGCAGAATCCACCCTGGCCAGCTCACTGCAGTGTCTGGTTATCAGATTGGTTCTTGGACCAGTCAAGACCTCCTGCCTGTTTCTCCCCAGAATCTTCCTTCATTGAGAACCCTTACTCAGTTGCTTAGGCCTTGTGCTCTCTGCTTCCTGGACTGAGTTGGGGAAAGGTGACCATAGGAGAAGAGGGTATAGTGGATGCTCTCTGAGAGCTCCCAGTAGAAGTCACTCTATTCCCCATGTTCTCCCAGAAAACAACACGAGGCCGATTACAGAAGGTGGGGCACAGAGAGGACGTAGCTGCCTCTTCCCTGAAGATCTCTTATAGAGAGACCCCCTATCGGGGGATGGCATTTTCTGTGGAGATTGGGATTGGGGCTCATTTAGAAGTGAAGTAGCCAGCGACCTGTGGGAATGTTACTTAGCCTAACCTGACTTAGTGGTGTCCCTCAGGAGCAAACATGAGAACAGCTCAGCTCGCTCTGCAAGGGCAGGCCACAGAAGCCTGGACGTGAGTGAGCTATGAGGCAAGAGTAGGAACTCTGTTGAGGCCTGTCCTTGTCCCACTTGTGATTGCTTCTCCCGTCATCTCCACACATGGATCAGCCAATCAAAATGCATTTACTGGCTGACTAGGATAGGTACCAGAAACTGAAGCTACTCAGATTCCGTCTTAACTGATAATGATTTTCTGATTCACACGGACTCTTCCCTAGTCACTGAAAGTCCTCCACATTGCCCTTCCCTTTCCGGTCTGTGCAGTCGGCCTGCTCCTTAGGAATGGGGAAATTATTTCATTTTTCCTGATTCTCCAATCCTTGGTCAGCGTCTCCTTTCCAAGGTGCTGGAGTAAGCAATGGATGGAATGTTGGAATTTGGAAACATCCCTCCCTCACGCCAGCTCTACAGATGTTTGGCTATGAAGAATTTCCACCCATTCTCGACTCTCTTTAGTGTCACAAGCTCATAGGAAGTGAATTGGGTGGATTTAGAACTATCTAGCTGGAAAGAAAACAGTTGCCTTGGTGAGGATGGATCACAAAAAGCTTAAAAAATAGGCCAGTGTCAGCTGCAAATTGTTTCCTCCTGAAACTTCCTCACCCTTATGATAAATTCCTCCACTCCTTGGGTGGCTAACCACTCTGAACATGTTTGTCAGAGAAACAATGCAACAAGCCTTCCTGGCCACTCCCAAAGCCTGGCTTCCAAGTCTCACCGGAGGATTGCCCCTGCCTGTCTCCACTCCCACCCCCGGGTCCAGGGCCAGATCCCCGCACCCTTAGATTGAGATCAGGAGCGAAGATCAGTGATCATTTTAAAGTTATTCTAAGTTATCCAGAATATAAAGAGCAAAACAAAGACACAAATAAAAACCCGACTCTTATGGTCTCGTTTTATTTTAGTCTGATTGATAGATGATGCTTTTTGAGGGAGTCTTACCTATTAGCTTTCTCTGCCTATGTAGGAAGTAGACCAAAAAATAGCTTTCAACAGTTGGCACTGAATCAGCTTAGAGGAATGTCAATTGCATTAAAAAAAATTTTTTTTTGAGAGTCAGCTCCTGCTTCCTCTAAGGCAGCCTTTCCATTTCCACGCACCTGTCCTACACACATAGCCAGTCTTTCTCTCTCTCCTGTTGGTGTGTCCCATCTCAGTAGGATGCTTATGGGCACACAGCCAGAGATAAGGTAAGGCCACAATTACTTGTACAAAGGCCCCTAATCTTGGTTACAGAAATACAAAGCTTATCCTTGTTTTTGAGTCTGCTGATTAATGTGGTGATTGCTCCCTTGAGGCTGTGATGGCAACCCAGTGCCTCTTGTCCAAGGAGCTGGGGTGAGCAGTGGACTGGATCTTGGAATATGGAAGCATCCTCTGTCCTTCATCCTAGTTCTACAGAGGTTTGGCCGTGAAGAATTTCCACCTATTCTAAATTCTTCTTAGGGTAACAAGATTATAGGAAACAAACAAGGTGGATTTAGGGGCGCTTGAGTGGCTCAGTTGGGCATCTGAGTCTTGATCTTGGCTCAGGCCAAGGTCTCATGGTTCGTGGGTTCAAGCACTGGGTCGGGCTCTGCGCTATCAGTGCAGAGCCTACTTGGGATCCCCTCTCTCTCCCTTTCTCTGCCTCTCTCTGTCCCAGAATAAATAAATAAAACTTTAAAAATATATATATTTAAAAAATCAGGTGGATTTAGAGCTCTCTAGTGGAAAGAAATGTGTCTATGTTGCTAAGACCCACCTTCACCATCTCTACAGCCTGGCTCTTATGCATTGGCTGATATGAGCAAGATCCCTGCCTCCCGTTCCCCTGTATGGAGAATTCTGAACCCAGAATTTCTGGCACATCCAAAATGTGCCCAGCAAGGCTAGGAAGGATGGGGATTGGAACTAGCATTTATTGTGCACCCACTATGTGGCATAGTGCTAGGTGCTTTATAGCACATTATATCACTTGGAAGCTGAGGTTCAGAGAAGTCGTTACATGCCTAAATTCACAAGGACAGAACGTGTTAGAATCAGGATTTTAAGCAGAGGACTTCAGATTGAGATCAGCTGATGGCAGTGTCCTGCGGTGGAGGCGTAATTCTAACTTTCTGCTTTTTCTGGCTGTAACTCGTCCTCAAGGGACATTGGATAACATGTTCCTACATCCCAGAGTCTGTTGGTATATGGAGCAGACACTTTGTTTATTTTGCCCTTGGAGACTTAACCTGTTTGGAGACTCTTCTCTGTGCAGGGAGTAGCGTCTGAGGGTGGGTGGCTTTGCCCCAGAGGCCGCCTTAGACTGCGTACATGGAAATAAGTAAACCCTCTTCCACAGTAGTGCGTGTGGTCTGGTGGTGAGGACCAGCATTGGGCGTCAGGTGGCCTGGGTTGTGATCTCAATTTCACCACTAGTTTGTGGTGTGACCCTGGACAGTTATCCAGCGACAGTGTGCTTGAGTTTCTTCTGCTGTCAGATCAAATAATTTCAGCCCTGCCTGCTTTCCAGGGATGTTGAGAGGCTAATTGAAACAGCACTTGAAAAAGACTGTATGGAGTCACAAGGGCTGTGCTAGCCTGAGATCACTCTTACGTCGTGGGCGTTTCAAATCTCTCCTGCTTTTGCAACATAGTTTGCCCTGGCTATGAAAATAGTATCCCAAAATGAGTTATTGGGCTGCCATAGACCCTATTTTTTTCCACCTCCTCCCAAAGCCTCTTTCTTGTTGCGATTACACCTCATAAAATGTAATGTATCACCCCCAGCCCCTCCCACTTCCTGTTTGGTTAGAAGAATACATACGCTCGCTCGTAGGGTTCTTTACAGGTTACAAAGAGATTTTATATACCTCATATGAGGTTAGCTCATTTAATGCTCACAGCGTGATGAGGTAGTAATTATTTCCCACACGTTATAGATGGGGAAACAGAGGTGTTCCGTCGCTTGTTCTGGGTCCCAAAGGTGAGAAAGTGGCCGAACCAGGCCCCGAACTCGGGCCTGCTGACAAAATGTGCATCCAGGACCCTTTTCACCATATCCCAGATGTTTGCATCCCTTCCCCTCTCTGGATCCAATCAGGCTGTTCTGTGCTCTCAGCCCTGGGTGTTTCCACACAGCTCTCTCTCTTTCACGCCCTGCCATACCTCAATTATTGTAATTACCCGGCCACCTGCAAAAGTCAAGCGGGAATGATGGAACAATGCATGCAGGTGTGGCTGTTGCCGGGGACAGCTGCTCCCTGCCAGGGTGAAGAGGAGGGAGGCCTGGGGAGGGAGGGGGACGGGAGCTGCCTCCTCAAGCCTAGCTAGAGACCTATCTTTGCCTTTGGGTGGCTGTGCCATGGAAGGGGACGGAAAGGGCATAGAAATGAGATGGGAAAACAGAAACTCTGCTTCCCCTCCCAGGTTGGGGGCCCAAAGCCGAGGGGTAGAGATGGCATGTATGGCTGGGTATTTGGACTCCTAGCCGTGGTGTAAAGCTAGGTGCCTTGGCGTCGCAGAAATCTGAGGACAAGAAGCAAAGCAGCGTGGGGAGATGAGCGGTAACGTGAGCCCAACTGGGAGTGGTTGGTGTGGTTCAGTTTGCTCGGGCAAGACCTGGAGAGCCAAAGGGAAAGTCGTCGTGGCTAGGATCGCTCTGAGCTTGTGCACCTGACAGCAATAATCACATATGATGATTTAAAAAAAAAAAAAAGACATCTGAAATACTCTGCATCCAGTACTCGAACATGACCGTAAACCCAGTAGTCTACAGGGCCGACAATAACCAGCAGTGGTTTCTCAGTACAGCACGGAATGATCTAGGCTGAGGGACTTGTGGCATGTTGGAAGGACCTCGGCCATGTCTCTCTTCTGTTGCCTGTCATCCTTCTTTCCTTTTTCCACTCCAACCCCACCCCCTTTGTTCGCACCATTTGTGGCCCTGGACCAGGTGGAGAAATGGAACCGCCGCGACCAGAAGCTGCTGGAGGCAGTGCAGCGGGGGGATGTGGGACGCGTGGCCTCCCTGGCCTCGAGGAAGTCGGCCCGACCCACCAAGCTGAACTCGAGCGGCCAGTCCTCGTGAGTAGCCCCTCCAAAGCACCCTCCCTCCCCTTGATATGTGGTTCCCTTTGAAAGTCCTAAACCCCAAGATCAGGTAGGACCAGGGAGTGCCTACAGCCTCAGAGCCCTTTTTGTCTTAATCGGAAAGCGTATTGGTCAGGGTTTGCTATGGATCGAGTGCTACACATGGTGAGAGAAGAAGCTATCCTGAGTCCAATCTCACAACCCAGGTTGACAAAACTGGCAAAAAACAAAACAAAAAAACCAGACAGGAAGCCCATGAAACAAACAGAAAACGGTGTATTTCTAACAACAACGTTTATTTATTGCAAGGGTAGGAGGGTGTGTAAGCTTGAGCCATTAGGAACCAAGTGGTAGCCATGAGCATCACATAGCTAGACAGAGTGATCCGGACAGGAGGGACATTATCCCTGTCTCTGCCCAAGTGAGCCTTCAAATGTCCAGTCCGCTGCTCTGCTCTCTGGCTGCCTTGTTCTAGGACAGTCCCAGTTGTAAAGGCCCATGTGGTCAGAGTAACAGGTGGTTAGCTATGCGCTCCCTGGACACCCCTGCAAGAGTCTAGGTTGCTTGAGACCTGTAGCTCTTATTTCTGTCTTTGCTTCCCAGCCTCCTCTGCCTTTGTGACAGTAAGCCACATAGCCTTTTCCTCAGAAAGTCAGGCTCGGGGAACTCCCCTGTCTGTTGTGGGGATTGGCTCTGGGGGTGAAGGAGTACAGCAGGCAGTGCTTACAAAGCCTCCCGCATCCCTCATCTACTGGTCCCTTCATCCTTCTGTCCCTTGGCCTTGATTCTGGCAGGTTTCATCTGGCAGCCTCCAAAGGCCTGACAGAATGTCTGACTATCCTGCTGGCAAATGGAGCTGACATCAACAGCAAAAACGAGGATGGTGAGTTAGACCATGCACTGGGCCAAGCTGTTGGCCTCTCCTTTTACAGCAGCAATGGCGGGGGGGGGGGGGGGGGGGGGGGGGGGGGGGGGGGGGGGGGGACACCAACTGCCGGAAGTTCTAACTGTGGCCCCCACATCTTCCTCACCGGCTCTGGCCAGCATCCTTCCAGGGGCTCCCCTCTCTGCAAACCCTTCTCTGGGTTTACCTCACCCCTACTCCTACCTCTGCCAGGTACCAGGCACTGGGGGAACAGGAATTTCTGGCCCCATGGGGCTGAGAGCTTGCTTCTCTCTCTAATCTCCCCCTGATTATCTGTGCGTCTCTTGCCTTCCCTCCCTGTGAGTCATCGGCTTGCATGGGGCCACCCGCCCTCCATCTCCCCTTCTTTCTCTTTCCAGGAAGCACTGCCCTGCACTTGGCCACCATCTCCTGCCAGCCACAATGTGTCAAAGTCCTGCTGCAGGTAACAGAAATCTCTTGATACTACTTGTGGGAAGGGAGGAAGTGGGCCTAGAATCTTCTAACTTTGTCTTACAGTCACAAGCAACATTTGGTCAAATGGACCCCTCTCATCCCCCTCTCATCAGCAAGAGAGCTGATAGTCACGTATTCATTAATTCACAAACTTTTATGTAACGCCTACTATGTGCGGACACCATGCTTCATGCTGCCCTTGAGGGCCGGTCATAGAGCTGTGTTCCCAGGGACTGCCTGCCCGTCATTCACATGCCATTGGCAGAGCCCCTGCGGAGGCCAACTGCTGAGTGGCTGGGCAGGTGGCCGGAGGACAGAGGTGTTCACATCCACCCCAAATTCTACCATCTGTTTTTAAGGAGCTTGCAGGCTAGGAGCACTAAGACAGATACATAGATGAAACGACATGCAGACAATCTAGAAACTGGTCTCCAAAAGGCACAGTTCAACAGGCCACGGGGCAAATGGCTCTTCTGCTTTTGTTCTTCCTGGCCCTTTCCAAGTTCCCCAATTATGATCCTAAAGTCCCAGGCATGGACCCAGGTGTCATTTTCCCTAACGTGCTTCTTTGCCTATAATCTGATTTTTCTTGGGCCTTAGGTTTAGGACCCAGGGCTGAATTTCAAGGCTGCTTATCATCCACCAGGGGTGGATTGGGCTTGCCTAGTAGTTGGCCAGAGCCACGGTCCTCCTTCCCCTCCCCATAGTACTATGGAAGCTGGTGCCCTAAGAGGGGGTATGTGATAAGAGTGGACCCGCCATGCCCCATGCTGCTCTCCTTTGTGGCTGTTTGCAGCATGGTGCCAACGAAGATGCTGTGGATGCAGAGAATCGTAGTCCGCTGCACTGGGCAGGTATGTGCCAGGGGACCGGTGGGAAATGGGGTGGCTGCAGGGACCAGCGGGCGGAAGGGGAGGGAAGACAACATTTGGGGAGCAGGGCAGGCCAGGGCTGACTGCTGAAATGGTTGGCGGCGATGTTGGGTCATAGTCTGACTAGGTGTCTTTCCTGCTTCTTCTTAACCCAACATCCCTCCCCCAGCCTCCTCTGGCTGTGCCTCAAGTGTTCTCCTGCTGTGTGACCACGAAGCCTTCCTGAACGTCCCAGATAATGTGAGTGTCCACTGGGCGGTGACCTTCGCAGGGAGGCTGCTACTCTCTCTCCCTCCCTCTCTCTCTCTCTCTCTCAGAGCTTGACTGGCTCAGCTCCATGACCGCGGCTGCACACACCTCCTCTTCCTTCTCCCTCTGCTCCTCCTCCTCTTCTTCATGGAGAGGTTAGGCCTTATCTCCTGGAGGACTTCTCACCCAAAAGGAGTATTCAGCCCCTGCATCTGGGCTTTTTTCTGGAGAGATGTCGGGAGAGGGCAGTTGGTAGAATTGTCAAGCCCCTGGCTCCCCCTGGATCCTCATGAACTCCCCTCCCTTCCCACAATCTGTGCAGGACGGACGTACACCCCTGATGATCGCATCGCTGGGTGGCCATGCAGCTATCTGCTCACAGCTACTGCAGAGAGGTGCCCAGGTTAATGTCACGGACAAGGATGCCAAGTGAGCCTTCCCCACCCCCCTTCCCAAATCCAGACATTGACCACTCTAGAAAGGAGCCCCTGGGCAAAGTGTGTGTGTGTGTGTGCGCGCGCGCGCGTCTGTGTGTCTGTGTTTTGGGGAAGAAGGAAGACTAGTCTCTGTTTTCTTGGGAACCTCCTTCCTTCTGAGCAGTTGCTCAGAAGGCACAGATGACTTCCTGGCACAGATGACTCCAGGAGTGGAATCGATGCTTCTGGGTTCATTTGCTTAATTTACTGGTTTTCAAACTATCTTCTAAGCAATGGGATCCTTTTGCCAATAAAGAAGTCATGCAGCACCTCAATATAGAAAGTAGATGAACACAGAGCCCTTCAAATTGGCCCCCGGCTTTCTGATGCTGCACCTCCAAGGAACGGCATTTGAACAGTTCTGGTCTGCTCGAACACTTTGTCATTGGCTGGCACTGGTCTGTGGTTCTCCTTGCTGCACCGAGTGAGATCTGACTCTGAGCGGAATTTCTGGAACCAGGACTCCTGGATTCCCTGGGGAAGGCCTATGCCCAGATCTGTCCCAACCCACAGGTCGGCTCTGATCCTGGCCTGTGAGAAAGGCAGCGCGGAGGTGGCCGAGCTGCTCCTGAGCCACGGGGCAGACGCAGGGGCGGTGGACAACGAGGGGCACGACGCTCTGCATTATGCTGTACGCTCGGAGGACAGGGAGCTGTGGAGGCTGCTCCGGCAGGCCCTGCTCCGGCAGGGGCGGCAGGGAGGTAAGGCAGGTTCCCTTCCGTAACTTCGAAGTTCTCCCGGATAGCCTTAGAATCCCAGAAGCTTCTTAGAATGCCGTTTGTTCCTGGACAAAGAATCCCTCTATCGTCACTAGCTAGTGGAATGTTGATTTACTTATTGCTGCTACTTGTGAAATGAGCCCAAATTCTCAAAAGCATGGTCACAAAGTCCCTTCATGCAGCCTTGTCTCGCTGAAGGCAATTCTGCTTGGTACTATCGCTAGCATTTATGGGTTGTGATCGTAAATCTATTCGTGAGATTTGACGGTCAGTCTCCGTCTCCCCCACTAGGCCGGCCACTGGCTGTTTTGCTCACCAGTGAGGTCCTGGTGCCTATAACCGTGCCTGACACAGTGCCCAATAAATAAGTGAGCAGACAAAATGAATGAGCTGGCCGATCTCTGGGATGGTGAACCGAAGATGCTAGATAGTCAGGGACCCTTTCAACGGGGGTGGCTCCTGGCACCATGAAGACATGTGTGGGAAGGTTATTGCATCGAGGGACTGTTCCTCTCAGAAAAAGTCTGAAGATAAAGTGTGGGCTGGAAGAGGACCTATCTCTGCTCTCATCTCCCCCCCCCCCCCCCTGCTTTTTTGTATAGGTCAGGGGCTTGCTCAACATCTGGATCTTACATCCCAGGTAAGACCCTAAGTGCCTTTTGCCTCTGACCTTCCCCTCCCCATCTCCCTCCCCAGGCTATCTCACTGGGATATCTCCCAGGGAGTGGTCTTCGGGGCATCAAGACAGTCTAAGAGCGGAAAGGCCGTCCGGGGGCTGGGCTAGCTGCCCGACTTCACTATTCCTTTTTTTATGTAGGCCTCCCCATCAGAGTCTCTGGTGGTTTCTCCACCCCAGAGCCCGTGGAGAGCGGAGCCCGAGGAAGAGGAGGAGGAAGACCCATGCCCGGATGAGTGGAGGCGGAAGTATGAAGAGGAGCAGAGGAAGGTTTCTCAGTTGGAGCAGGAGCTGGTGCGAAAGACGGAAGAGAGCGAGGCTCGAGCTGCAGCCTGCCTGGGCCTGGAGAACGGGATTCGAGAGCAGGTGCAGGAGCTGGGGCTTCTCCTATCACCACAGCCTGGGACTCCAGGAGGGCAGGGCTCTAGTCTCCGGCCTGGAGGAGATGGCATGGAGCAGGGTTGTCCCCTGGACCTTCTGGCCGAGCGCATTCAAGAACTAAAGAAGCAGCAGCAGGCAGCAGCTGCAGCTGCAGCCAAACGGGCGTTAGCTTCTAAGAAAGCAGAGGATTCGGTCTCGGGGGAGGTCCCGTATGAAGCCCCTGGAGGGGCCCAACCGGAAGAACAGGGGCCACCCCAGAGCCCCAGGTCTGAGACCATTGGGAAAGCCACAGGACAGCAGCTGACCACCAGCGGTGGACAGGCCCTTGGCCCTGATCACACCGACAAGCCACGTGCTGGCCAGAAAGAGGGGCCCCGGGCCCCAGGGGCTGAACCAGCAGGCACCGCGGCTGCACCAGTGGGCCCCGGAGACGTGAACCAGCTCCTGCTACAACTGAGGGAGGAGCTGGCCGCGGTGTGGCGAGAAAAGGATGCCGCCCGAGGGGTTTTGTCAAGGCCGGTCCTGGAGGGAGCTCTGGGGACACCCCGGGCCGAGGCTGCGGCGGCCGCCTGGGAGAAGATGGAGGCCAGGCTGGAGCAGGTGCTGGTGAGGCTGGACAGGGCCAAGGCGGGATTACCCGTGAGCCCTGACGCCGCTGCCCGGCCCGGAGAGGGAGCCCTGCACGCCGGCCCAGAGACCACCTCCGAAGAGAATGAAGGGGGGCGGCCAGGGGCTCCTGGGGCTCGCGGAGAGCCTCTAGGGGCCCCCGCAAGGGGACAGGTGCCTGGAGGAGGTCCGGCCAAGGGACGGTTGGAGAAGGAGGTGGCGGCCCTGCGGCTGAGCAACAGTAACCTGCTGGGGGAGCTGGGTCAGCTGGGGCAGGAGAGGCAGCGGCTGCAGGGGGAGCCGCAGTCCCTGAGTCAGCGTCTGCAGCGGGATTTCGTCCCCAAGCCGGAGGCGCAGGACCAGCTGCGGCAGTTGCGGCGCAGCGTGGGGCTGCTGACAGATGAACTGGCCGCGGAGAAGGAGGCCACCGAGCAGCTGCGGCAGCGCCTGGCCTCCCAGAGCAGTGGCCTCCGCGGGCTGTGGGACGACCTGCCGCCGGACGTGGTGGGCAGGGGCGTCGCGGGGCGCACGGCGGCCGAACCCCTGGAGGAGCTGCGGGCCTGCATCCGCGCCCTGGCCGACGGGCACCGCGAGGCCCAAGACTCGCTGGCCCGGCTGGAGCAGGAAAACCGGCGGCTGCGCGGGTCCCCCGGCCCCCGCGGGGAGCCACCCGGCACCTTCTCACAGGGCCCAGTCTCCCCCCAGGTGGCCGCTCTGGAGCAGGACCTGGGGAAGCTGGAGGAGGAGCTGCGGGCCGTCCAGGCCACGATGAGCGGGAAGAGCCAGGAGATCGGGACGCTGAAGAAGCTGCTGTACCAGGCCACTGAGGAGGTGGCCGAGCTGCGGGCCCGTGAGGCCGCCAGCCTGCGGCAGCACGAGAAAACGCGGGGCTCGCTGGTGGCCCAGGCCCAGGCTTGGGGCCAGGAGCTGAAGGCCCTCCTGGAGAAGTATAACACGGCGTGCCGGGAGATGGGCCGGCTGCGCGAGGCCGCGGCGGAGGAGCGGCGCCGCAGCGGGGACCTGGCGGCGCGGGCCGCAGAGCAGGAGCGCCAGGCCGCCGAGCTGCGCGGGCGCTCCCAGCAGTTTGAGAAGACGGCCGAGGTGCTCAGGGACAAGGTGGAGCATCTCATCGGGGCCTGCCGGGACAAGGAGGCGAAGGTGAGCGGGGCGAAGCAGCCATCGGGGAAGGTGTCCGTGCGGCTCAGGGTTCGCCGACACGCACCAGCCTTGGTTTAGTCAGTTTCATACCGCTGAACCGAACTCCCGTCATCTGCAAGGACCACGCTGTGTTCTCCGGGCTCTCGGGGATTTGGGGTTGAGATTGGAGGTAAGGTTAAGGTATAGATAGAAGAGAGGAGGGGGCTTAGGTATTCGAATGTGGGACTCGGGGTTAGAAGCAGGGCGGCCAGGCCAGAGCTAGTCCAGGCCCTGGACTGCTAAGGTTTATTAGCACGGGTCTCTTCAACAGTGCAGATGCTGTATCAGCCCAGCAAGAGGCCTGAGGTCCGTCGGGGTGGGTTGCTGTGGTTTTGCTGGGGTTCGGAGGAGGTGACTCAGGGGCCGATGGGTTTAGAAGAGTAGGCTAGCCTGGAACACTTCCCTCTCCCCTTTCCACTTCAGTCCCAACGAATTCTACCTAAGATTGCCATCAACAGGGAGAGCCCCCATGCAAATTAAAAAGTTTGAAAACCCCCGCGTTAGAAACCGGAGTTTCCCAGCGACTACTCCAGTAGTCAGTGTCAAGTCTCCATGATTCTAGGAGACGTGTTTGAGGAATCTGAAAAAATCAATTTAGAAATGGATGTAGTGATTTTAGAACTGCCTATGAAATGAATGAGATCAGTTGTCTTATTAAAGGTTGTGTGTCTGGTCAAAGGTAGAGTGATTTAAAAATATAGGGCGTATATGTTTTTTGGAACGTAGAGTGCATACCAAGAGAAGGACTGTTACGCAGAATAGGAATCAGTGTGGGTGGGGCTAAGTAAAGAAAGGAGGAATTTTCTGTTGGTGTTGAAGGAGAAGATGCATGTAGACAAACGTGCAAAAGAAAATTGTGGGGTCTGGCATCGTCTGGATTTGAATTTCAGCTTCAAAACTTACTGCTTGATCTTGGGTGAGTTATCTGAACCTCTAAGTCTCTTATCTAGGCCTCATCTATAATCTCCTCTATGATATGGGGACAATAACAGGGTTTTCATGAGCATTACATTAATAAGATAGTATATTTAAAATACTCAAAACAACTTTTGGTAAATGGTAAGCATTCAGTAAATAAAAGCGAGCTATGTTTAGTGTCCCTACTACTGCCGTTTCTATTACCGCTGGTTACCATTAACCAAGTTTGTGCCGCAGCCTCACAAACCACAAAAACAAAACTCACTTCTATTTCCCTCAGTGGTCAGCAGCCACGAGTAGATCAGGATTCGGTACAGAGTGGAGAGCACCAACAATGAATTCAAAGAGATCTTGGTTCAAATCATTATTTCGTTACCTATTAGCTGTATGATCTTGACAAATTACTTAACTTGGTCTCCTTATCTACAAAATGTGAATAGTCACACTTCTCTCAGAGAAGTCTTGTTCTTCTTGGGACAGAAGAAGAGCTGTTTTGGGTATGAATTGAGACAATGCGTGTAAAATTTCCGGCACATATTCTATACCCAATAAAAGAAAGCTGACCTTGACCCTGGGTGGTGTCAGGGTGGGAAGTGACTTGGGCCTCATTGGTCCCCTTTCTTTCCTTCTGGCCTCAGATCAAGGAATTGTTTTATTAACATTTATTTATTTTTTGAGAGTCAGAGAGAGACAAAGCACAAACAGGGGAGGTGCAGAGAGAGGGAGACACACAATTAGAAGCAGGCTCCAGGCTCTGAGGAAGCGGTTAGCACAGAGCCCGATGCAGGGCTCAAATCCATGAACCGTGAGGTCATGACCCTAGCCAAAGTCGGTTGCCCAACCGACTGAGCCACCCAGGCGCCCC